TGATGTCGGGTAATGGGCTGTAGGTGAAATGGGTGTCGAGAAATAAGATCCACCTTACAAAATGGTCTAATTAAATATTTTTAAATTTCGTTATAATAATTTCGAAAATTAAAATTTTATTAGATCTTTTTGCAAATGTTAATAGTTAAAAGAAAAATTACATAATTTTTTTTTATTTTAGAAATCTTGTTTGGATACTATAGTGGACCTCTTTTCACACAAGATGAAATGCAATGTCTTGAGCATCCAGCTCTATGCTCATTTCGTGACAAGCTTTATACCATGCAAGATGGGTCACAAGCATCCGGAAAATCAATTGCGACACCTGTATTAATTCGTCAAAACTGATTGTAATGAAACTGAAGGTAGACCTTAAATCACTTTGCAAGGGCTGAAGAAAACGCTGTAAAATCGGCTACCACAGTTTTTGATGAAAGATTGGGTAGTAGAGGTAAACCTTATTATTCTAATATTATTTGCCATGAAAGCACCAAAATATGGAGAAGGGAATTATACTAATAGTACTATTAGAATGATTATTGAAATAGCCTATAGCGGGGTTTTGGCAGTTAGATTTGAAAGTTTAGTAGAAACGAGAGTGTTTGAAAGAAGGCATAAAAATGAAGAGCATACAGTTATTCCCAAAAAAGAAGATGTAATCGAACCTAGAATTATTATTCATACAGGCAATTGTGATGTGGTGCTCATTGATGAAATATTTCAATTATGGCATGTTTACAGTTTGCAGCTGCCCATTTGGCTGGTATTGATAAAATAGTTTATCATGTCATAGATGATAATCTCAAAATAAAATTGAGATTGTATTAGAAACTTATAGAGAGTTGACAATGGATGTAGATGAGATGGTTAAAGTTGATGATTTTATTACTAAGCTTGAAAGAAAGAATTTTCAATGGGGTTTCAGCAATGGTACTTAATATTTAATTAATTTAATTTTTGTAATATCCATTGTAAATTCAAAATGTTCGGTTTGTTATCTGTTACGTACTGTTCACATTATGAATTACCGTATAAATGTTAAATATTTTAAAAAACACTATTCTTTATCAATCTACACAAAATTAATTACTGTCCTTATGCATTTATTGAAAATATGATAATTGTACAAAATTTTCATTATAAGTTTTATACAATACGCGTTTTTAATGGAGGCGGACAATACTATAAAAAAACGAATATCACAGAGAAATCCAAGACCCAATAGCCATTAAAATCTGCTTTTCCCTGCCGTCAAGAATTAAAAGGAACAATTGAGACTTTGTAATTTAAAGTCACCCTGATCTTGATAGATGTTATCCTGTTCCAACCGGTTAATTTACGCTTAAAAAACTCGTTGGAACACTGTTTCAAACCATACACGTGAAACCGGTTATCGAACTCAGTTATACAAATCCACTAATAATTATGCTTTCTTAAACAAGTTAATAAAACCTGCTTTTATTAATAGAGTAAATACATGAATTTTACATTCGTAAAATATACATATTATGCATTTACAATATTTTTTACACCTATCGCTATTAGTTATTTATTAACCTACATAATAGTACCTAATTTATTAACCTTCCACACAGTCGATAATACCCGATTCATACCACGTTTTTAATCAAAGGCATTTTCTTCAGATAATAAAAAATTCGATTATTCGGTTATCTAATTTGGGCTCGCGTCGTAACAAAAAAAAAGATAAAATTATTCAATATTTACGAAACTAGTGACTTACTGACAGTGATCCTGGCAGGTGAAGAACGAAATCGACTAAAGGAAATTATCAATATAATTTATGAAAACAACTGTAACAAAAATCGGCCATTTGACTAAGCCGCTAAGCCGATAAATTTATAGGTTACGCATCTAACATTAAGATGCATTCCTGTTATTCCTGTATCGGTATATTATATAATTTTCTAAGATGACTAGTTGAACTAGAAGAAATAAGTGTATTTAAAGTTAAGTATCAAGATAGGTATAGCAAAAGAAGGAAATCAAATAATGGCAATGATAGCGTTGTTTCATTATTATCAGAACTTATCGAATTAAAGTATCAAATCGATTATGCTTTTAGAGTGTATAAAAAACAATTTTTTTAAATATTTTTGATAAAAGTTCCGGACCTCGATACCTTTATTTGATTGAAAATAAGGATCGTGAGCCAACAACATCCCTATTCTCAAGTGTTTTAGTTGTCATTACCGTTATTAAATAAGGCCAATCTAAAATGAACGTTTCTCTGTGCCCGAAATACATTCGTTATACCTAATCGCGTAACCGTAATTGATGTATTTAAACATTAACTTCACCTTAACGACCGACAAGTTGAGATGATCAATCCAAATTAACTATTGGAGCTAATTAGACATTGTATTGTAACAGTCCTCTCAAACCATAATAAATTACGGATAAACACCATAGC